CCAGCCTGGACAACGTGAAACGCTGTCTCTACTAAAAATACAAAAATCAGCAGGGCATGATGGCAGGTGCCTGTAATCCCAGCTACTCAGGCGGCTGAGGCACAAGAATCTCCTGAACCCAGAAGACAGAGGTTGCGGTGAACTGAGATCGTGCCACTGCCCTCAGCCTGGGCAATGGAGTGAATCCCTATGTCAACAAAACAAAACAAACAAAAACCATGTCCAGTACTAGCGTTGTTCCAGCTTTCTCTAAGAATGCATCATTGTAAATTAACTTTACAGCAGAAGCAGCAATGCTTGGGAAATATCCAAATCGTTCTCTACTTTTCTCAGCCTCCCTTGCAGGGAGGGGTCATGTGATTCCTTTAGCTAAAGACCTATGAATGGAAATAACTTGTGTCCTTTCTAGTCAGAGCCAACAAAGTGTGAGGTATAAATGATCTCTCCCTCCCCACGTTAAAAGCTACATGTTGCAATGTATCCCAAGAAGGTCAACTTTTGTCCCTCCATCCAGACTTCAATCTTGCTTGCAAAGCCTTTTTGAAATATAGGAACAAGACCGGGCGCGGTGGCTCACGCCTATAATCCCAGCACTTTGGGAGGCCGAGGCAGGTGGATCACGAGGTCAAGAGGTCGAGACCATCCTGGTCAACATGGTGAAACCCCATCTCTACTAAAAATACAAAAATTAGCTGGGCATGGTGGTGCGCGCCTGTAGTCCCAGCTACTTGGGAGGCTGAGGCAGGAGAATTGCTTGAACCCAGAAGGTGGAGGTTGCGGTGAGCCAAGATCGTGCCATTGCACTCCAGTCTGGGTAACAATAGTGAAACTCCGTCTCAAAAACAAAAACAAAAACAAAAAACAAATATAGGATCAGCAAAAACAAAGCAAAACACATGCACACAGCACAAACAACATCCTTTGTGTTAGGCCATTGAGAATTCAAGGTTTGTTTCTTCAGCATAGCAATCTGAGTAATACACCTTAGTACTACTTAAATGCTACTCAATTTTATCTACTGGAGAGAAAGCACCATGTCTTTCAAAGCAGAGTGGAAAACAAACTATTCAAGGGCCACAAGGTGGTGCTATTTCTACAGCAATGTGATGACATTTTTGTTATACTTCTTTAAGATAGGGTGGAGTCTTGCTATATTGCCCAGGCCAGTCTCAACCTCCTGGGCCCACGTGATCCTCCTGCCTTAGCCTCCCAAGTAGCTGAAACTACAGGTACTTTTTTTTTTTTTTTTTTGAGATGGAGTTTAGCTCTCGTTACCCAGGCTGGAGTGCAATGGCTCAATCTCGGCTCACTGCAACCTCTGCCTCCTGGGATCAGGCAATTCTCCTGCCTCAGCCTCCTGAGTAGCTGGGATTACAGGCACACACCACCATGCCCAGCTAATTTTTTGTATTTTTAGTAGAGATGGGGTTTCACCATGTTGACCAGGATGGTCTCAATCTCTTGACCTCGTGATCCACCTGCCTCGGCCTCCCAAAGTGCTGGGATTACAGGTGTGAGCCACCATGCCCGGCCTACAGGTACTTTTTGAAGCAAATTAAAAACTAGCAAAATGGATTTTTTTTTTTTTTTGAGATGGAGTTTCACTTTCATTGCCCAAGCTGAACTGCAAGGGCGCCATCTCAGCTCACTGCAATCTCTACCTCCTGGTTCAAGCGATTCTCCTGCCTCAGCCTCCTGAGTAGCTGGGATTACAGGCATGCACCACCACGCCCGGCTAATTTTGTATTTTATTTTGGTCAGGCTGGTCTCAAACTCCCAACCTCAGGTGATCTGCCTGCCTTGGTCTCCCAAAGTGCTGGGATTACAGGTGAGAGCCACTGCTCCCAGCCAAAAGAGGAAATTTATTTTAGCCTTGCAATATCATCACTTGAGTCCAGAATCCATCCCTGTGCTGATCCTTGCTTTCATTTCGTTGTATGATAATGGGTTATTTTATGTATTAATATATAGGCCTGAGGGAAGGAGACACAAACAGGGAGAGCCATACAGGAGGAAGGCCTCCTTTTCTAGGAAATCTAATATATAATTAATCAGCTGAAAATGACCAAAGCTTTCTGGCTCAGTTCTGAGCATCTCAGAATCTCCTACGGATTCGACTAATCCAGCTCAGGTGCTCCTCTTGGGTGATGTAAAAGCACCATACTGTAATAGTCATTTATTCATGATTCTACTGGACTATAAGCTTCTGGAGAACACGGACCATAGAATTCGATACAGCACAGTGGTTAGGCCACAAGCTTTGGAGTCAGACAGACCTGGCACCTTGTCTGGGCTTTGCAACTTCACAGGCTGTTTCCTCAGGTGAGTTACCTAGCCATTCTCATCTTTAGTTTCTACATTTGTGAAATAAGGATATTATCTCATCCATGGGTTGATCATGAGGATTAAGGAAATGAAAGCCCTGGCTGGGTGCGATGGCTCATGCCTGTAATCCCAGCACTTTGAGAGGCCGAGGAGGGCGAATCACAAAGTCAGGAGTTCAAGACTAGCCTGGCCAACATAGTGAAACCCCATTTCTACTAAAAATACAAAAAATTAGCTGGGTGTGGGGGCAGGTGCCTGTAATCTCAAATACTCGGGAGCCTGAGGCAAAAGAATCACTTGAAACTGGGAGGCAGAGGTTACAATGAGCTGAGATCGTACTACTGCACTCCATCCCAGGCACCACCATGCCCAGCTAATTTTTGTATTTTTAGTAGAGATGGGGTATCACCATGTTGGTCAGGCCGGTCTTGAACTCCTGACCTCAGGTGATCCACCCACCTGGGCCTCCCAAAGTGCTGGGATTACAGGCGTGAGCCATGGTATGATCTTGTCTCTCTGCAACCTCCGCTTCACGGGTTCAAGCGATTCTCCTGCCTCAACCTCTGGAGTAGCTGGGATTACAGGTGTGCATCACCACACCCAGCTAATTTTGTATTTTTGAGATGGGGTTTCCCCATGTTGGCCAGGCTGGTCTCAAACTCCTGACTTCAGGTACTCTGCCAGCCTCACCCTCTCAAAGTGCTGGGATTACAGGCGTGAGCCATTATAACCAACTAAGCACAGTTACTCTACTGAAACCTGTTATAGACGAAGTTCTCCACATCATTTGACTCTGAAGACAATGAATCTGTCTAAAAACAAGAAATCTACTTAAACACAGTATGCAAGTCTGGGTATAGTGGCTCACGCTTGTAATCCCAGCACTTTGGGAGACTGAGGCAGGCGGATCACTTGAGGCCAGGAGTTTGAGACCAGCCTGGCCAATATGGCAAAACCCCATCTCTTCTAAAACTACAAACATTTGACAGGTATGGTGGCATTCATCTATAATCCCAGCACTTTGGGAGGCTGAAGTGGGTGGATCACTTGAGTCAGGAGTTGAGAACCAGGCTGCCAGTCTGGTCAACATGGTGAAACCCCATATCTACCAAACAAACAAACAAATGAGCAAACGAACAAAACAAAAAACACTTCTACATGTACACTGGGAAATATAAATAAGAACGTTCATATGGCCGGGCACGGTGGCTCAAGCATGTAATCCCAGCACTTCGGGAGGCCGAGGCGGTTGGATCACGAGCTCAAGAGATCGAGACCATCCTGGTCAACATGGTGAAACCCCGTCTCTACTAAAAATACAAAAAAAATCAGCTGGGCATGGTGGTGCGTGCCTGTAATCCCAGCTACTCAGGAGGCTGAGGCAGGAGAATTGCCTGAACCCAGGAGGCGGAGCTTGCGGTGAGCCGAGATCGCGCCATTGCACTCCAGCCTGGGTAACAAGAGCAAAACTCTGTCTCGGAAAAAAAAAAAAAAAAGAATGTTCATATTAGCAGAGTATGAATTAAAAAATAAAACTGTCAAAAGAAAAATGTCCAGCTAGGCACGTAGCTCATGCCTGTAATTCCAGCACTTTGGGAGGCCGAGGCAGTGGATCACCTGAGGTTGAGAATTTGAGACCAGCCTGACCAACATGGAGCAATCCTGTCTATACCAAAAAGCTGGGCGCAGTGGCTCACGCCTGTAATCCCAGCACTCTGGGAGGCCGAGGCGGGTGAATCACGAGGTCAAGAGATTGAGACCATCCTGGTCAACATGGTGAAACCCCGTCTGTACTAAAAATACAAAAAATTAGCTGGGCATGGTGGCGCGCACCTGTAGTCCCAGCTATTTGGGAGGCTGAGGCAGGAGAATTGCCTGAACCCAGGAGGCGGAGGTTGCGGTGAGCCGAGATCGCGCCATTGCACTCCAGCCTGGGTAACAAGAGCGAAACTTTGTCTCAAAAAAAAAAAAAAAAAAAGGCAACTCAATTTAAAAATGGGCAAAAGAGCCAGGTGCAGTGACTCACACCTGCAATCCCAGCACTTTGTGAGGCTGAGGCAGGAGGATCACGTACGTCCAGGAGTTTGAGACCAGCCTGGGTAACATAATGAGACCTTGTCTCTACGATACATTAAAAAAATTAGCCAGACATGGTGGCGGCCACTGTGGTCCCAGCTATTTGGGAGGCTGAGGTGGGAGAATCACCTGGGCCTGGGAGGTTGAGGCTTCAGTGAGCCATGATTACCGTGAATACCAGCCCCACCACACTCCAGCCCCGGGCAACAGAGTAACACGCCGACTCAAACTAAAGGAAAAAAAAGGCAAAATATTTGAGTAGGAATTTCTCCAAAGTAGTTATACAAATGGACAATTAAGCACATGAAAAGATGCTCAACATTATTAGTCATCTAGAAAATGCAAATAAAAATCACAATGAAATACCCCTTTATACCCACTAGAATGGCTAGAATCAAAAGAGCTGACAATGATATGTGTTGGACAGGAACTGGAAAAACTGGGATTCTTTTTTTTTTTTTTTGAAGGTCAAAGAACTCATTTATTTTTACTCATAGAAAGTATAACTATTGCCGGGTGAGGTGGCTCACATCTGTAATCCCAGCACTTTGGGAGGCCAAAGCAGGTGGATCATGCGGTCAAGAGATCGAGACCGCTTTTCGATCCGCCATCTGCGCCTCACGTGGGGCCGCCACCAAAATGCAGATTTTCGTGAAAACCCTTACGGGAAAAACCATCACCCTCGAGGCTGAACCCTCGGATACGATAGAAAATGTAAAGGCCAAGATCCAGGATAAGGAAGGAATTCCTCCTGATCAGCAAAGACTGATCTTTGCTGGCAAGCAACTGGAAGATGGATGTACTTTGTCTGACTACAACATTCAGAAGGAGTCTACTCTTCATCTTGTGTTGAGACTTCGTGGTGGTGCTAAGAAAAGGAAGAAGAAGTCTTACACCACTCCCAAGAAGAATAAGCACAAGAGAAAGAAGGTTAAGCTGGCTGTCCTGAAATATTACAAGGTGGATGAGAATGGCAAAATTAGTCACCTTCGTCGAGAATGCCCTTCTGATGAATGTGGTGCTGGAGTGTTTATGGCAAGCCACTTTGACAGACATTATTGTGGCAAATGTTGTCTGACTTACTGCTTTAACAAACCAGAAGACAAATAACCGAGTTAATAAAAGACATGAACTAACAAAAAAAAAAAAAAAAAAAAAAAGAGATCGAGACCATCCTGGCCACATGGTGAAACCCTGTCTCTACTAAAAACACAAAAAGTTGCTGGGCGTGGTGTGCGTGTCTGTAATTCCTGCTATTCGAGAGGCTTATTAATTATATAATTATTTAGTTGTTGCTGGAGGCTAGGTGAGGGAGAAATGGAAAGTGACTACTGATAGGATTCTTTTGGGGGTGATAAAAATGTTCTAAAATTAATAGTGGAGGCTGGGCACGGTGGCTCAGGCCTGTAATCCCAGCACTTTGGGAGACCAGGAGTTCGAGACCAGCCTGGGCAACCAGGAAGATCTCATCTCTACTAATAATAAAAAAAAATTAGCTGGACATGGTTGCCTGTGCCTGTAGTCCTAGCTGCTCAGGAGGCTCAGGCAGGAGAATCCCTTGAGTCAAGGAGCTTGAGGTTGCAGTGAGCTAGGATTGTACCACTGTACTCCAGGCTGGGCAACATAGCGAGATCTGATGTGAAAGCAAACAAACAAAAAAATGTAAACTTACAGATGAGATGAAAAGATAGTAAAGAGCTTTCTTACACTCTTCATTCAGCTTTCCTTAATTTTTTTTTTTTTTTTTTGAGACAGAGTCTCACTCTGTCACCCAGGCTGGAGTGCAATGGCACACTCTGGGCTCACCACAACCTGTGCCTCCTGGGTTCAAGCAATTCTCCTGTCTCAGCCTCCCAAGTAGCTGCAATTACAGGTGTGCACCACCACGCCTGGCTAATTTTTGTATTTTTAAGTAGAGACGTGGTTTCGCTATGTTGGTCAGGCTGGTCTCGAACCCCTGACCTTGTGATCCACCTACCTCAGCCTCTCAAAGTGCTGGGATTACAGGAATGAACCATTGCACCTGACTAGCCTTCCTTAATGTTTTATATATATATATATATATATATAATTATATATAAAACATATATAATGATTATATATATATAATTATATATATAAAACACTATAGTATAATTATGAAAATTAAGAAATTAAAGTTGGAACAATACTATTTATTCAACTACAGACTTTATTTGGAGTTCCTAAACTTTTCTGCTAATGTCTTTTTCTTTGAGATAGATAAGGTCTTGCTCTGTCAACTAGGCTGCAGTGTGATGGCATGATCTTGGCTCATTGTAATCTCCACCTTGATCCTTGGCCTTCAGCCTCCCAAGTAGCTTGGACTACAGGCATGTGCCACCACACTTGGCTAATTTTTGTGTTTTTTTGTTGAGATGGGGTGTCACCATATTTTCCAGGCTAGTCTCCAACTCCTGGGCTCAAGTGATTCACACACTTTGGCCTCTCAGAGTGCTGGGATTATAGGTATGAGCTACTGTGCTCGGCCGACCCGGGTAGAGCTTAAAAATTCTGATATCCAAAGAGTGCCTCAGATCAGTTAAATCAGTCTCTGATAGTGGGACCCAGACATCAATATTTTTAACGCTCCCCAGCTCATTCCAATGTGCAGCCAAGAGTGACAACCACTGCCTGGATGTTGACAGTTAAAGGAACTTCAACTCATTTTGCTGACATGTAGCCTTTGGGTATGGTTATTCAACCAATTAAACATTTATTATACATTTCTTCATTTCTTCAAAAAGCCACTGTGCAAGATTATCAAATGTCTAACTTTAATGAGGATGTGATACCAATAATGGAATTACTTCACTCTACTATTCTAGGCTGGTCTTTAACTCCTGACCTCATGATCCACCTGCCTCAGCCTCCCAAAATGTTGGGATTACAGGCATGAGCCACTGAGCCCAGCAATTCTAGAAATTCTTTTTTTTTTTTTTTTTTTTTGAGATGGAGTTTCGCTGTTGTTACCCAGACTGGAGTGCAATGGCACAATCTTGGCTCACTGCAACCTCTGCCTTCTGGGTTCAAGCAATTCTCCTGCCTCAGCCCCCCGTGTAGCTGGAACTACAGGCCCCCCACCATGCCCAGCTAATTTTTTGTATTTTTAGTAGAGACGGGGTTTCACCTTGTTGACCAGGATGGTCTCGATCTCTTGACCTCGTGATCCACCCGCCTCGGCCTCCCAAAGTGCTGGGATTACAGGCTTGAGCCACCGCGCCTGGCCAGTCATTTTTTTTTTAGACAGAGTCTTGCTCTGTCGCCCAGCTGGAGTGCATTGGCACAATCTCGGCTCACTGCAACCTCTGCTGCCTGGGTTCAAGGGATTCCCCTGCCTCAGCCTGCCAAGGAGCTGGGACTACAGGCAAGTGCCACTACGTCCGGCTAATTTTTTGTATTTTAGTAGAGACAGAGTTTCACCATGTTGGCCCGGATGGTCTTGATCTTCTAACCTCATGATCTGCCCGCCTCGGCTTCCCAAAGTGCTAGGATTACAGGTGTGAGCCACCGCGCCCGGCCTAGGATCAGAATTCTTTGTCTAAATTAGTAGTTCTCTACCAGGGGGATTTTTGTCGTCTCCCCTAACATTTGACAATGAATGGTTGGAGGTGTTTGGTTGTCACAACTGAGGGAGGGGAGGGAGAATGCTACTGGCGTCTAGTGATTAGAGGCCAGGTTCAGGTCAGCTGTGGATTTGGGGGAAAAAAAAAAAAGAAATAATAAAGATTAGAGGCTAGGTATGTTGCTAAGCATTCTACAATGCACAGGAAAGTCCCCCACAACAAAGAATGATCCATTCTCAAATGTCAACAGTGCTGAGGTTGAGAAAGATTGTCCTAAATCTCGAGTCCCATAGAAAAAGTTTGGTTCACAAAGACTAATATTTATTTATTTATTTGAGACAGAGTCTCTCACCCAAGCTGGAGTGCAGTGATTCGATCTTGGCTCAATGCAACCTCTGCCTTCTGGGTTCAACCGATTCTCCTGCCTCAGCCTCCCAAGTAGCTGGGATTACAGGCGTCTGCCACCATGCCTGGCTAATTTTTGTAGAGACTGCATTTCACCATGTTGGCCAGGCTGGTCTTGAACTTCTGACCTCAAGTGATCTGCCTGCCTCAGCCTCCCAAAGTGCTGGGATTACGGTTGCAAGCCATCGCACCAGGCCACATAGACTAATTTCATTGTTTTCATAATTTCAGATAGAAAAAGTAGAATTCCTTATGCTGTATTTTCTCATCTTAATAATATCTATCTCCCCAGGTTTGGATTCCCAGAACACCACTAGGGCTATAAAAGTAAAGAAGTTCTGGCCTGGTGCGGTGGCTCACACCTGTAATCCCAGAACTTTGGGAGTCTGTGGTGGGCGGGATCACGAGGTCAAGAGATGGAGACCAACCTGGCCAACATGGTGAAACCCTGTCTCTACCAAAAATATAAAAATCAGCTGGGCGTGGTGGCGTGCACCTATAATCCCAACTACTTGGGAGGCTGAGGCAGGAGAATTGCTTGAGCCCAGGAGGCAGAGGTTGCAGTGAGCCAAGATCATGCCACTGCACTCCAGCCTGGCAACAGAGCAAGACTCTGTCTCAAAAACCAAACAAACAATAAAAGTAGTTCTGAAACGTACTGATTTTCACAAACTTCAACAGTGCTAACTTCTCTAAGCTCTAAAGTTTTTGTTGTGTTTGAGGTAGTGTCTCCTGCAGTCTCCACGGCTTGAGTACAGTGGTGCTATCATCGCTAACTGCAGTCTTGAACCCTGGGGCTCAAGCGATCCTCTCCCTTCAGTCTCCTGAGGAGCTTGGACTATAGCAGGGGTATCTAATCTTTTGGTTTTCCTGGGCCACATTGGAAGAATTGTCTCAAACCACACATAAAACACTCTAATGACAGCTGATGAGCTGAAAATAACTACAATGAAATCACACACACAAAAAAGTCTCATAATGTTTATTTTTATTTATTTATTTATTTATTTAGAGACAGAGTTTCTTAATGTTGGTCAGGCTGGTCTTGAACTCCCAACCTCTGGTGATCCACCCGCCTTAGCCTCCTAAAGTGTGGGGATTACAGGTATGAGCCATTGTGCCCATCTAAGTCTCATAACATTTTAAGAAAGTTTATGAATTTGTGTTGAACGTTATTTAAAACCTTCCTGGGTGGTATGTGGCCCATGGGCCACAGGTTCAACAAGCTTGGACTACAGGCATGCAGCACCATGACCAGCTAATTATTATTTTTTTGAGATGGAGTCTTGCTCTGTCGACAGGTTGGCATGCAGCGGTGGGATCTTGGCTCAAAGCAACCTCCACCTCCCAGGTTCAAGCGCTTCTCCTGCCTCAGCCTCCCAAGTAGCTAGGACAAAAGGTGCGTGCCACCATGCCATGCTAATTTTTGTATTTTTAGTAGAGTTGGGGTTTCACCATGTTGGCCAGAATAATCTTGATCTCCTGACCTCATGATCTGCCTGCCTCGGACTCCCAAAATGCTGGGATTACAGGTGTGAGCCACCGTGCCTGGCAAAATTTTTACCTTTTTTTTGAGACGGAGTCTTGCTCTGTCACCAGGCTGGAGTGCAGTGGTGCAATCTTGGGTCACTGCAACCTCCGTCTCCTGGGTTCAAGCGATTCTTTTCTTTTTGCGGGGGGGGGGAGGAAGGCAGGAAGGAGGGAAGAAGGACGGTAGGGAGGAAGGAAGGGATGAAGGAAGGAAGGAAGGAAGGGAGGAAGCGGGGAGGGAGGGAGGAAGGGAGGGAAGGGAAGGAAGGAAATCAAGCAATGAGAGAGACATTGCCGACCTGGATCTAGAGGTTTACAAGTTGATTTCTTTTTTTTTGAGAGAAGGAAAGAAAAAAAAAAAATAAATAAAGGAGAGGAAGAAAGAGGAAGAGAAAGAGGGAGAGTAAATGGAAATATTGCTTTATTTTGAAAAAAATTGGGTATTAATAATGGCCAATCAATGTTTCATTTAAACTTATGGGTAGGTGTGATGTGGTATTGACAAGAATGTATATTTTGTGTATTTGAAGTGGAGAGCTCTATGAATATTTATTAAGTTTACTTGTTCCGGATCTGAGTTCGAGTCCTTGATATCCTTATTAATTTTCTGTCTCATTGAATCTAAGTCTCGTATC